CCCCCCCCCCCCCCAAACACCACGTTAAACTCCCAACATAGAGATCTGCTCTTATCAGCTTGTTATAAAACGGCATCATCCATGGTAAGTAAGTATGCTCGGCCATGCACAGTGCATCTGATCCCATAACTGCAATAGAAATGGCATTGCCCACAAACTGAACGGAGCTGGGAGGGGTGTTAGAACAACTCTGCCATTAACACACTTTAAGCCGAGGTGTCCATATGCTCCTGTTTCTCTGTATCCAGCTGTCTTCCCCAGTCCAGGACAGTCAGAGACCTCTTAGGCAATGCATCAGTCCTGGGGAGCTGCATGTCCTGCCAGCAAACAGCCAGTGGGGCCATTAAAAGGCACAGCAAATGATACCTAAAGTGACTTCAGGGTCATCCCCACTGCACCTTCTGCTCCCTGCTCATGGCTGGATTCATGGCAGTCAACGCAGCACCCCTGCCCCTGCTTGCCCAGGGTAGTCGTGTGTCCTTGTTTAGGGAACAATCCCAAAGGAAGCGCATTGCTCTACACCCCAGAGCCTTTCCTCATCATCACTGCACCTTTCCCCTTCCCACGTTACTAGTCGTTACAGCCCCTTTCACCCTCGCTATACATCACAGGCAATTTATTCACTAGGAGCACTCCAGGGGCTTCACTGAGCTGACTTCTGAGCAAGACAGAGGATCGATCGGCTCCGTATATGCGAAGGTAAAAGGAGTGTGAGTGGGGGAGGAGGGTCCTATCACTGCTGATTGCCATTACCCTGGATGCAGATGCCACGTACAATGGCTGCTAAATAGCATGCCCTGCTACAGCTATGGCTTTTCTTGAGATTACAGCATAAGCAGTGATCCCCCCTGACATCTTAATCAGCTCTCCCCTCTTTAATTACCGCTGCTTTGTTTTCCATGCTATGCCGTGTTAGCGGTATAATTTGCACAAGGCGAACGTGCACGCAGTGCGACAAAACAGGCGACTGGCCTGGGAAGGCTTAAAAGGTCAAAGAAAAAAACTTTCGCTGAGGCTGCCAGCTGACCACCCCGATGCTAGGAAGCTACATAGCTGGTCTCTCAGCCGCTGCACAACACACCGTTGTTCTCCCAACCACCAATGGACACAGCGCACGTTCTACGAAACGATCAGCAGCAGCCTCGAGCACGTGTGCCTCTTCCGTGCAAGATGCTCCAAACTTTTACCAGCCCACCCAACACTATCAGTCCTGCTTTATAAATGACGGCAAAATGACTCAATCAAGTTCACAAAGCAAGTCTGTAGCGAGGATCTGGTAACGGAAGGGAGGATTCCTGCATTTCAGTTCGGTCCCTGGATCGCTGTGCAATGCTCCTTCTCCTCTTTCAAAATGCTCAGGATTATAATTACAGTAGAAAAGTGAAGACCTCCCTGACATCTGGGCCCCAGCGTGCTAGGCTCTGGGTTTGCCGACATGTAAAAGGGTTTACACAAGGTAGGCAGCCTTATCAAATTCAGCTGGAGTCACTGTAGCCTGGCACGGGAACAAACACTTGTAGGACCAAGCGACTTACCTGAGTTCATGCTGGGTTGGTTGTTTTTTTAAAAATCAGTGGCTATGGTACCCTGTGGGCAAGTGTGCTTGGGAATCCATATTCCACCTCCCCAAGTTTACACTGGCTGTAAATTTAAGCAGCCAGACACAATGAAAAAAAATCTTGCTGTGGGTATTTCACTCAAAAGCTCATTAATCCTGTATGAGGATGGTTACTTCCCTTCTCCCCCCTCTCAGTTTCTAGCCATTAACTGTACTGTTGCTGATAAGATAAGACTCATATGCTACCATGGGCTGTAACCCATCCATTATTTCAGAGCCCTGTCATGCGGTGGAGGAGATCGCTGCACACCTGACCCGGCGCCGCTTTGTAAATCTGCAATTCTCAAATCCAGCCAAGTAATTGAATGGAGAGATTTATGGGATTCTCGATACCTGATGAAGCTGCAGTCAATGCAGATTATTCTTCTGGCTTCCCCCCCTTGACAACTTCTGAACATGTACGATCATATCTCGGCTGTCAGCACCGAGATGGTTCAAAAGGAGTGCCAGGAACATCAACTCCAAACCTTTGGCTTACATCGCACAAGATTTACAAACTATCGCGCTTAAGGAAAAACCCACGATGCACGGGAGCGATGCATCACTGTGTTCGGCAGCCTCTGCAGGCACATGTAAAAATAAAGAACAGCGATGATACATTAGAAACGAAGGGCGTTCCTAGGATTAAGGCGCTGGACTGGGCTCTGGAGACCCATGCTCTTTTCCTGGCCGCACAGTCCTCCAATAATAACTTAGGGCAAGTTGCTCTGCCTCAGTTTGCAACGGGGAAAACTACAATTCCCTTCTCCCACCCATTGTTGATCTTAATTACTCCAGTTATGTGACACATGGACCGTCTCGCTAAGCTGTCAGAGCCGGGCATGACTGACAATACTTATGCTTTGGGCGCATTGGGTCCTGATCTCAGTTGGATCTCAGGAGGATAGCCAAATACAAATAATGCCTTCACACAGTCCCTACACCAAAGAAAAAAGTCCAAGACTCTTCCTTTTACGGGAAAGAGGGAGGCCCTCTTTCCCATAACGGAGCCATATGAAAACATGACTCTAGTCCAGGGGCGGGCAATTATTTTGGGTGGAGGGCCGCTTACTGAGTTTTGGCAAGCTATCGAGCGCCGCATGACAGGCAGCCCATGGCAGATAAATATTAATTTTCTAAATTTTTTAGGGGCCCCGTGGGCCGGATAGAATGGCTTGGCGGGCCGCATCTGGCCCCCGGGCCGCATTTTGCCCACCCCTGCTCTAGTCTCATTAGATCGGTGAGACCAGCAGCTATTTCACTCTGTCCCTAATCAGCTGGATTCTCCTTGCATCTCTTAAGCTTTCAGGGAAGAGGGACCGCAAATGTTTTTCCAGGAGAGTCCACCCATCATATCAGCCCACCGGCCATTACATCCATAATGCAACTCAGCTCATACATAATGCAGGACCTTAAAATGCTTCTCTAAATTCTCCTATTTGTGATATGTCCAAGGAGCAGTTGGCCAGGCATATTTTTGAGATCAGCACCCTCCTGCATGTTGCGCTATCCCCCTCGAGTGCTGTGAGGCTTGCCATCCGAAAAGGATGGCAGAATTTCAGAGATGTGTCTGAAGGAGGAGAGGCATTGTATGGTGGCTCTTTCACCCGTCTGGGAGGTCGGTGCAGCAGCAAGGCAAAAAGCAAACAGACAGACGGACGCAAGGAACGGCAGCACCAAGATAGGACACTTCTGCTTTCCCTCCCCTCCCCAACAGGCCATTACAGCAGTCTTTGCTCCCACCAGGAGGTAACATGCGTTGCTCAATTCAGTAATACTGCATGCTTGCTTCCTGCTTTTGAATCTGTGCAGGAAGATACTTCGTGAAAGAGAAGAGCCCCGGGTTTCAACCCACTGAAAGATTTCCCGTGGTCAGACTCCGCTGTTAAACGGTGTCCCAGTGAAGTGGATCTAGCCCTGCGCATTATATCCTGGCTCGTGCTTTCTCCCTATTTTTCTGCAGTACGTCTCCAGTGCCGTATCACCTAAACTTAGATGCTATTCAACCAGCTGGCACTGGATGATAGAGATGGCCAACTAGCAGCGAGGATCAATAGCAGCCGCGAGAAATACATTGCCCTTCTCAGGTAACAATCTTCGAGCACTTTACAACCATTAAGGGAGGCAGCCTCGCAGCTTGCCTATCAGCAGTAATAGCAGAACTGGGTGAGGCAGCTTCCCCTCTACTTGTTGACCCGTGTTATCTGCACACACTGTGCTTCCAAACCGCAACCCGATTCAGGGGGTGGACGCCTGGCCCTATTGAAATCAGTAGGGA